TCTCCATGGCGAGCCAGATCCGTTGGGGATTCACTCGTCGTGGTGGTCGCGAGTTCATCGATCCCAGCGTTTACAAGCCTTCGATTTTTGATGCTTAGATGATATATAGTGGTGATGCTTAATAGACTGTACATAGAATAGACATGACATGCCCGATTCAACCATCTCACCGTACAATCCTATACAATCTATAACAATGACTAGATAACTTGACGCTACTTTGACTAAAACGTACATAGAAGTGACGTCTCCTACACCTAAATAACCTTCATCTTATACAATCTATATCGTAACTAGTCATCCATCCCCCCACAACAGCAATCCTACAACCCCGGCGTCTCCGCAATCCTAAAAACATACTTCACGGCACTCGCCTTCCCATCCATCAAATCCTTCATCGCGCCCTTCACGCCCTCCAACCCACCCTCCCTAACCTGCCACGGATGACCCTTGAACCGCCCATCCTTCAACGCGCGACTAAACCACCGACAGAACACATAACACAGATCCCGACAATCATCCACCCCATTGGCCTTCTCATGTGCCGCATTCACCCACGTATTCGTCGACAACAACCCGGGCAGATCCTTGGGATCCCGGGGGAGGACATGGTCCACTTGTCCTCCGGGCGTGACTACCTGAGTGAGGACGTGTGCGCTGGTGGCGTCGACGATGGTGTCGAGGGCGTTTTTGATGTTCAGGTTCAGGGATTTGATGGAGGCGATGGTGGAGTCGGTGCCTGGGCGGTAGTCGATCACGGTGTCGCCTTTGCTGGGGTCGAGTAGGGATTGTACGTAGGGGGACCCGCTGCCCGCGATGGCGATGATCGGGTGGATGTTGCTGGCGCGGAGGAGTTTGATCGCGAAGGAGCCCACGGCTGTGCTGCCGCCGTAGATCACGAAGGGGGTTGGGGTGGTCGTGGCGCTGGGTGGTGACCATGGGGTGGGCAGGGCGTGGTGGTGGTGGAGGGAGATTACGGCTGTTAGGGCTGCGAGGGGGATGGTTGCGGCTTCTGTGGGTTGTAGTGTGGTTAGTGCTGTCCTTTGAGAGGGGGTGGGGGTATGGGGATGGTACCCTCGAAGGAAACGCTCTCCGGCAGGTGGAAGGTGGTGTGTGCCCAGGCCACGGCGTACTCGGCGTATGAGCCACCGGGCTTCATCATCTCGTGGAACGCGGCGACACGGTCGCCTTCCTATATTAATTTAGCATGCGCATGCGACATGGCACAACTTGTGTAAGGTATACCTTGAATTCCACCACGTTCTTGCCCACCTTCTCAACCACACCGGCAATATCATCGCCCTGGTTCACGCCATCGCGGAACTGCGAGTATCGTGAGTAGAGAAAGCTGTTCGGGTCATTTGCCAATTCGGCGACCTTCCAGTCCTTGGGGTTGGAGCCGGAGACGACCACCTTGATCAGGACTTGGTCATCGTTGAAGCTGGGGATGGGCGAGTCAATGAGCTTGGTGCTCGGACCGGGGAGGTTGATGATTTCCTTCATTTTGATAGTTGGATGTAAGGGTAAGGGATGGGCTCAATCTGTATGGAAATTGGTAAATAGGGTATACATATATAAAGGCTAGTATGAACAGGGGTGCTGTCTAGTGCTAAGCTCCGGGGAAGTGAAGAACATTATTAAGCAGGGTGGGGATACCTGATGTCATGAGTTGTTGAATGTTGAGTTTCATGACTCGGGCTCGGCATTCCAGAAAATTAGAGCTGAAGAATGCCGGATAGAAGGACTTCCGAACCCGTTGGCCCGTGCTGCTGGTGATTGCTAATGTTTATTAAAATCTTCCATGTATGTCCATTGTAGTCTATAGATCTTCTAGTCTATATCTATTATGTCCACCACATTATGCACATAATGATAACGTCTAATCCAAGAAAGAAACTCAAAGCTTGCTTGGCCGCTCGTTCTTCAGCACCGCCGCATTCCACGGGTACGGATCAAACACCAGATCATTGACCGGGTTCTCCTGGCTGGCCCGCCGGAAGAGATCTGGGTACACTTCACCATCATACTTGCCCAGACTGCTGTCCAGCTGCCAGTCGGGGATCTTCCACGAGTCCACCAGGCGCACCGCATGCGGGCGGATCTCGTCCAGCAGCTTCATCACCGCATTGGTCTGCGTCAGGCCGATCTGTCGCACGGTCACCGCGCTGGACGAGAAGAACTCGGATGCCTCACGCTCCAGCGTGTGCAGGGCATACAGACGGAACAGCTTGTGTAGGATGCCTGTGGTCTCGGGGTCCAATGCCCCGGTAACCTGGGGAGACGTCACCGCCTCGTAGAAGTTCTTCACCACCAGGTACTGCGAGTGAGCCGTGGACAGGCGCCAGAAGTCGACCAGCAGGCTGTTCCAGGACCGCTTCTCAACATCACGGTGCTTCAGCGCCTCGAATGTGAGGTGAGCCGTCCGCCAGGCAAAGGCAGCCACAATGTCACTGTCATTGCCGAGGATATCGAACGAGGCACCCTTGTCGCGGCGCGAGAGGTATGCCTGCAGGATGCGGGATGTGTCGTTGTTGGATGCCTTGCCGGCAAGGACAGCGCGGGCAGATTTGAGAAGCTATGCACGTTAGTTAGAGAAAGTTATTTAAGAAAGCGGGTGACTTACGTATCTCGCCACCTGCTGTGTCAACATGTAGTTGTCACCCTCCCAGGTGAGCGTGGGCAGGTAGTCCGAGTACCACGGTCCAATGCCGCTGTAGCTGCTGTAACCGTGTCCGCCACAGGCACGACGGCATACTTCGAGACCTTCACCTGCCGTCGTACTGGCCAGGGCCTTGAGACCACACGAGGTAGCATGCAGATCAGCCAAGAGATCGGCACCAGCCCGCAGCTCCTCCGGACCGGCACCCCGCTTCTCCTGGGCGGCCTGGGCGGCTGCCTTCATACGGTTCTGGTTCTCCTGGTAGAGCCGCATCATTCCGCGGCCGGTGAAGTGCAGAGCATACATAGATGCCAGCAGGGGCAGTAGCCGGACCTGCACCATCTTGTAGTTCAACACCTGGTTCTCGCCCACATTGCCTGTGGCATCACGGTCCTGGAACTGCCTCCGCACGGCGCAGTAGCGGGTGGCAATGGTCACACCCCGTGCCAGGACACCACCGGCCTGTAGCACGATGTTGGAGCGCACCCAGGTCAGAGTGCCATAGATGAGAGACGGCGACGCAGGACGCATGTACTCGTTGGTGTCCTTGTTAATGCGCGAGAAGCGGGCCAGCATGTTGATATGGGGGATCTTGACCTTGTTGAACAGGAGGAAACCATTGTCCATGGTGCTGAATTGGTTAGTCATAGCCACAACGCATCGGTCAGACTACTTACTTGTAACCGAACTTGGGACCAATGTCTCCTACGTAGACGTTCTCCAAGGGTTGATGTGTGTTCATGTCACGAATCTGGACCACAAATGGATGCGGGCCGTAGTTCTTGCCGCCGATGAATAGCTGTGCCATGACTACAGCGTGGTTGGCAGTGCGACCCAGGGATCCGATCCACCACTTGGAAGCTGTCAAGGTGGGAGAGTGAATAGTGAAGGTCTTGTCCTCAGGGTTCCAGGTGGCGGTGGTCTCCAGTCCACGCACATTCGAGCCGTGGCCCAATTCCGTCTGTGCATAGCATCCCAGTATTTGGTAGTTCTGTGCCGGCTCGAGGAAGAGTTTGTGTTGCTCGGGGGTACCTTGTTCCCGCAAGGTGACCTGTCCGCAGTCTTCATTAGCTTCTGAATAGGGTGGCGTGAGACAAAGAAACGAAAACGGAACATACCAAAAACATGGATGCATGCAATCCATAAGGAGTGGGCTCTCCAAGCAACTCATTGGCAGCATGTAGCTCCTCCTGCGACCATTTATGTTCCACTGACAATTGCTGCAGGCGCTTGGCTTTGGCCAGGGACCGCTGGATCCGCTCCGTCCGACCCTGCGTGTGGTTCTGTGACTTGTCGAAAACTTTCTCCGCCTGCAGGATAGAGAGCAGGTGCTCTTGACGAACCAATGCCTCCTTGGTGTGCAGCAATTCAGCCAATTTGTCAACAGCGACATTGGACTGATCGCGCTCGTGCTGCAAAAGTTGCGAGCCCTGCGGGTCGGCCGGCTTCAAAGCCTTGACCCAATCCGGTGGTGAAGATGGCATAATGATAGTAGTAATGATAGAGTGGAGTCTGCGGGGGAGGAGAACGTGGGAGAAAGAAGGGAGAAAAGGTATGATGTTGGGGGGCGTGAAAGACGTTATAAGCGGTCCTCCACGGGGAAGCCGAAATGATGATTTCGGTCGAGAACTCCCGTCGATGGGCGCTGGACCTGCCTCTTTGGGTAATAGCCGAGGCTCCCTAGTGGTAGTAGCCTCGATACCTGAGTGGCCAATTCCCGGTGACCGACTGACCGCCTGCCGCCTGACTTGTTCTGCCGCTCGGCTGACACGTTTCGGGGTTCCCCGGTTATTTTGCCTGCCGGAATCATCTTATCTTTCTCTTTCCCTGCCTGGATCCTCGGGCATCCCTGGCGATCTGATATCTGAGACCTAACTAATCCCGACCCGACTTACATGCACAGTCAGACAATAACCCGGGATGGGATAGACTGTCTTCGGTGGACAAAAACTGCCGGGTAACTGCTTCTACAGAGTTCAAGTATTCTTGGCTTGGTGTCTCAGCCGTGTGCTTCAGCCGTGTACCACTAATGCCGGCATCCGCCTGATGAGATGGACTTTTCTCACCAGCCTGTCTATGCGATGAGACAGAATGCTTGGACTGGGCTGGGTCATCAGAATAGCGTTGCATTATACTTCACATGTGCTGTCCATATGCCCCTTCCATGAGATTCATAAAAAATGGCGACCCTTTCTATATTCTCTGCGGCTCCACTCTCACATGTGAGAATCTGGGTGCTCCGTGTTCCCCGGGTTGAGAACCTGATCCAACTTTGGTGTCATCAACAAGAATCCACATGCCAGCCACATGACTTGCTTGTCCACTACCTGAAACGCTCCAATCAGCTGCTCGCGCGGACTGCGTCCTGCGACAGTTCACCTGCTCCCTTTTGCCCGCCTCCGTATGTGTCCGCATATCGCGCCAGCATCCACTCCTCCACTGTTATCGGCGGGTATTTCGCCTCCTCCGTCTCCGCCTTGCAGCTGGGAATGCACTCCACCACGTAGTCCAGATTTCCGGATATAAAGTATGGCACGCTGTATCGTTCTTGTCCGCTTCTGTTGATGACCCGATGCAAGTTGGATATATAGCGATCGTTGGTCCAGCGCATCAACATATTGCCTAGGTTCACCACAAATGCCCCTGGAACGGGCTCGGCATCCGCCCATTCGGATGCCTCGCGGTCCCACACTTGCAGACCCCCTTTGTCATCCTGCAGGAGGATCGTGAGGCCGCCAAAATCAGTGTGAGCCCCGATGCCTAGGACTTTCGTAAGCAGGTATGTTTGCGCCCGTGGATGAGATCATACCTCGTTCCTGGCCATCCGTTTCCTGGGGCGGATACCGCACCAGTCGTATAATATTGGCCGAGTCGTGACAAAATCCGTTGAACCAGTTCTCATCCAAGTCCAGCGTTTGAGCCAACACCTGGAATATCTTCAGTCCTAGATCGGACATTACCGCGTGGTAGTCTTTCACCGTATGCCGGAACAGATCTGGATCTCGGATCTCATCGGGATATTTATTAGACCCTTGAGAAAATCTTCCGGTGGAAGGATGCCCTGGAGGCAGGTCCTGCGATAGGTAGTAACTCTCTTTAAGATCACCAGGCCCTTCTTTCTCGAATTTCTGCGAGCGAAGGCCTTCGTATCCCAGATTTACGGGCTCAATTTCTGTTCCAGCGTCAGTGGTCAAGATCGGCTTTGCTATAAGCGTCAAACTCTGCATGAGATTACCTCGACTGTACTTCTGCTTCACTTCAATTGGTAGGCTGAATAGGTCCCGAGCCTGCTGAAGCATAGCCTCTTGGATATCGAGCGGGACTCGATGGTTGATGAGCTGAAAGAATCCATGTCTCTCGCATGCGTGACGGACTTGTCGCACTAGCTCTGCCTTTTTCTGGGCATCACCGGTGTAGAATGCTATGGTATGTTAGTCTGAGACAGTTATATTGTTGCAATTATTCTGGAGATATATGATCAGAACGTACGCTCAAAGTCGATGATGGGAGGTGCAGTGACCATTGTTCCAAAATTGTGATCAGAAGGACAGCCTCGGGAGGAGATTGATTGTCTTAGGGAGGCAAGCGGGGTATGAGGCCAACTCGACAGCTGCACCACTCGTAGCTTAGCTTGTGTCCTGCATACTAACCAATCCCTGTCAAGGCGAATCGGAAACAGCGATGATGGAGAGGTGCGACCGTTAGAACGCCGTCCGTGTCACTTCGGATACGTCGAGATGCTCTGCATGCCGATTCGCCAATACGACTCTTCCTTTGCTTTGCCAACCTGGAAGTATTTCCTTGAAATCATTCTGCGTAGAAAGGCAAATGCTAGTTCAATAGTCATTCAGCAAGTATCTGAAGTTCACTCTCAAACAAGAAGTTATATAAACACATCAAAGGATAACTTGGTATCGTTAATCTAATGCTAATAAAGATTGCTAAGCATCATGCAACATCACAGTTTGGAGAGCACGCCGTCTGGCTGGAGAACACATAAATGCCTTCTCTGGATTTCAGAAATCGACCGACATCTGGAATAGTTAGCATAGTACCTGTTGGTAATCATACACATCAACTTACCCAGCGAGAGCCATCGTGATCATCAACTCCTGGCGTAATATCCGAATAGCAAGCTCCACTCCTTGCTGGCCATCATACTATAGCTGGTTACTAGAATGCTCACAGCAGCTACCGGCTTTACTTACAGCAAGTCCCCAAATGGGAATCCGTCCCATGAAACAGTAGTCTGCCCCCAGAGCCAGGGCCTTGAAGATATCTGACCCCCGGCGGATTCCACCATCGATTGCGATCGGGATACGGCCCTTTGCAACAGGCGCGCAGTCGCGCAGTGCATCCAACGTGGCCGGGGCACCGTCGAGTTGGCGACCACCGTGGTTGGAAACAATTACCCCGTCAACCTTGTGTTGTATTGCCAGTTCCACATCCTCGGGTGCATAGACTGCCCGTGTTAGCTGATCGATGTCTGCTTCCATTGGAAGTGCGTTACTTACTGCCTTTTAGCCAGATCTGAAGCTTGGTATGTTTCCTCAGCCAGGGGATCGCACTATCCCAGTCAAGACTGGCATCTAGTAATCATCAGCGGGTCGTCCAAGCAGACATTCTAGAAAATACCAACCATAATCTGTGCGATCGGAGGTATCGCTGCCATTACTGAGAATATTGGGATATTCCATATCTTGCGGTAGCTGGTAGTCGTTGCGATACTCATTCAGCCGCTTCCCAAGCACAGGAACGTCTACCGACAGGAACAACGCTTTGTAGCCCGCCTTTTCTGCTCGTTCCAGTAACTGCAATGTGAGTGACCGATCTTTGAGCACGCACATCTGCATCGCATATGGATTCCCGCAGCCTTGACTGGCGACATCTTCCATCGAGGTGGTCGAGTATGAGGACAGGCCCATACAAATACCGTATTTCGCGGCGGCACGAGAGGTTGCGAGCTCTCCTTCGGGATGGGCGAGTTTGTGCGCGGCTGCTGGGCTGAAGCCGAAGGGAAGGGATACCTGTATAGTTGAGGAAGGGCATCAGCGACGATTCTGTCGGCTGTTAGACTAACATGTGTGCTACCTTAGTTCCAAGTATCTCTGTGCTGGTGTCGACATTGGCCACGTTAACCAAGACCCGTGGGCGAATTCTGTATCTATCAAATGCGGCTTCGTTGTCGCGTAGTCTGTGCCGTTAGTGATTGTTCGATAATAGTAGCTTCCAAGATTTGTGCATACGTTATCAGGTCCATGGCACCTTCATTGTAGTAGTCTGACAATCACCGGTGTTAGGGATCAAAAGTCCATGTTTTGCAGTGCTGAAATGCCCTACCTCTGACCATCTTTGGGAGCTTCTTGCTCCCAATTGCCTTCAGGTCGGCGATACAACTGACATCTTTGTGAAATGTCTCTCCGCGATGAGCCATGTTGGCAATGGGATCAGAACAAAGCACCGGGTTATAAAAATGCGTCAAGAGCAGCAAAGTTCAGGTTCCAATAGTATTATACTATCCTGTAGTTGGGCACAATTGATCCTATATACTAGAACTCGGCGTTACCGACTTTCCTAAATTTTTGTTGTCCTGCGACCGCATCTATTCCTTAACACCGAAAGAGGAAAGCAAAAGATAACAAGTCTCAGATACCTTCCCAGCGAGACGCTGTCGCAAAGCGCGGATACTGAATTCAGCTGCCCTATGGCATTGGGCAAGTCCGTGCAGCGGAGAGCCTTATCAGCTACTGTCCCCGGAATTCTATTATGGGGTGACGATCGTTCCTCGGAATCACCTACCAAATAGAAATATGCCCCTCAGAAAGAAGAAGTCTACCCCTCATCACATCATTCTCAATATGAACCTGGTTATTTTACTTGCCTCTTGTCAATTCTTTTCCTTGTCCTGCACTATTAACTGTTCCATTCCTGCATAGTAGTCAAAATGGCGAAAATCTTTCTGTGCGTATATTCCCGTGATCTAAGTTTGTCATTGCGATTGACGGTAGTTATAGCACAGGGGCCTCAGGCTATATCGGAGGAGATGTGCTCTATGCACTGAAATCAGCCCTTCCAACCTGCCAGTATACAGTCCTACTGAGGGACGAAGCGAAGGCGCAGAAACTCTCCCAGATATACCCTGATGTTCAAGTAGTTCTGGGAGATTTAGATGCCTCTTCCACTCTGGAACAGCAGGCACGTGAAGCGGACATTGTCATCCGTGAGTATCCTACTTCAAGACATCTTCTGCTTCCTATTAACATTGGTCTGCTTCTCCTAGACACCGCAAGCTCAAACCATGTCAAGAGCGCTGAGGCCATCGCTCGTGGATTGACCGCAGCGGAAAGACCGAAGCCGGGTAAATACCTCTTGTCTCCTCGTCCGTCCACTTATTATTGTTGCTGATAAGACAAACAGGTCACTGGCTTCAGATATCAGGCGCAAGCGTCCTTTCTATTCCCGACATTGTAGCCAGCGCTTTTGGAGAACCTTCCGACAAGGTCTACAGTGACGTCGATGGAGCCGATGAACTGCGGGAACTCATCCAACAATACTCTGCAAAGCGCGTGGTCGACAATTTAATCCTCAGCCTCATCCCTGCCGCCAATCGTCCGAAGACCGCGTTGATCTTTCCTCCTATCATTTATGGTCGGGGTAGAGGGCCGGTCAACCAGCGGAGCATACAAATTCCGGAGCTGGCAAGAGTGACGATGCAACGCCGGGGCGGGATTCAAGTGGGTAAAGGAGAAGCCACATGGAGTAATGTGCATATCTCAGATGTCAGCAGCATCTTTGTGAAGCTGGCCGAGAAGGCTTTGCGGGATGAGGAAGGGAACTTGTGGAATAAGAACGGGCTCTACTTCCCGGGTAACGGGGCTATTGTAAGTCCTTACATTTATATGCCTGGGTCCGGAAAGAATTATCTTCTAACGAGGTTTAGTCATTCGGTTCTATCTCAGCGCAAGTGGCGCAAGAAGTGAAGAAGCTCGGCCTTGCTGAATCCGAATCGGTTACTGAGATCAGTCATGAAGAGGCCGATGCGCTCACTCCTCATGGTGGAGTGCTATGGGGGACTAATGCCCAGCAGGTAGCCCAGCGAGCGGCCAAGTACCTGGGATGGGTCCCCGAAGGGAGGACATTGGAAGAGGAGATTCCACACACCGTTCTTGCCGAGGCTCAGAGACTTGGACTGAAATAGATATGTCTAAGAGTTATTAGAAGACCAGCATAAATGCATTCACATACATATTATTCATACTCATCCAAATCAAGATATTAAGTGGTTTATCACACGTAGAATCTGTTGTTATCAAGATCCCATTAGACTGCAGGGACTAAACCCGGGACAGCAGGTCCTTCCGACGCTGCTCTGGTCCAAATTGGAAGGAGATTCCGCCACACCGGAACCTCCTTCCTCCCCGGTCGGGCCGCGCCCTCCTTTCCTGTGACCCCTACTAATTGATTCACTTTCCAGCTCCAGCACAACGCCGACTCGTACCCCAGATTCAGTTCGATTACTATACTTTCCGTTTTTGTTGATATGGCCTACTCTGACTGACATGCCTTCCTCCAAGCCATCAGGTCGCCGGACTCGTCGCAGTCACGCCCTGGGAGCCTGCAAAACATGTCGCCGGCGTCATGCAAAATGCGACCAAAAGAGGCCTACTTGCCAGATGTGTCGGGCAACTGGCGTGGTATGTGAGGGGTTCGTTGATGAGATCCGATGGATGTCCGATCGGAAGTCCCAGCCTTCTTCGGGGACAGCAACTGGCAAGGCAAATGATCCGGAGAAGCAGGGGCCTCGACGCCATCTCTACACAGGTTCTTGATCCCTCTCTATAATTGATTACCTGATATACAAGTCCGGGATAGTGAAGCTAATAAATTTGCCTTAGAGAAGTCAAGAGTCTCCATGAGTGATGCCTTGAGCGCAGACTTGGTGTCAGGCTCTATTGATGCCTCTTTGGCGGAGATCGAAAATAGATCACGGGATGCCGGGAGACCCTCACAGGGTGATGTTGTAGTCGGGCCATTCTCTGTGCTGGATTTTAGTCTTACCGGCCCCAAATCTGCAAGTAGGGCTCAGCCTGCTGACGAGACTACGGTCGCAAATGATGTGGTTCTATCGTCCGGGAATACCCTGCCTGAAGGGGCTTCCGGGGTCAGCCCAGCTCTGTCGCAAGACTCGCTCGCCTACATGAATGATCTGCTGCAGTGGTCAGACATTCTTAGCTTGGACCCTCAGTTGCATAGTGCTACACTATCTGGCACACTTGACCTGGGTGATTGGTTGCCCCTCGATTTAGGGACACAGGCCCCTATACTTGAACATAATCTCCTTGGCGAAGCGCCTAGTCTAATGAATGATACAGCTGCTGTCTACAATCCTGGCCCAGAAAATGGCTGTGATCCTAAGACGATATCAGCAGTTGATAACAATCCACCTGATGTACTAGCAGATGCTCATTTCCTATTACGGCACTTTCAGGATCATGTTATTTCGCGTATGATGGCCGTTCCTCT